GAAGTGTGAATTTCTTAAGGATAGGAACTATTTCATTTATTCATATTTCCCTGTTGCTTAAGCTTGTGCCCCATCAATAATAATAGTAATGACAATGGTAGTGGGTGTGTTGTGCTTACTGTGTGACAGCATACCTGGTTCTAATCTGGGGCCTTCTTAAGGGATTTTATTTTCATTTTTGCCCTAGTTATTTAGAATTTAAACCCTGCATAAGATGCTACTGAGCTATATGGTTAAGAAACCAATGTTATATTGAAATTTTAATAATCAGTAAGACATACTTTTTTGTTAGGTTATTGGAAATTAATCTTTGTGTGAAAAAGTAGGAATATTACTTGTGTTTCCTAAAGATTCCTGGTCTTTGTAACAGTGAGTTGAAAATTATTCACATATTGATTAAAGCCATACTGTGTATAAAGCATTCTATACAAGCTTTTTATGAAGCTTTTTAGGGTAAGGCTTTGCTAGCATGATAGTTTTTATAAAAGCAGTCTCAAAGTTCGTATATCCTTTTTCTTAGAATTCTATGACATCTTCAGCTAGCAGTCTGAATTCTAAATAATAGAAATCATATTTAGATGGAAAATCCAAAATTTTTGTGGCTCAATTTTAGTTTCTGAATGTAATTAATATTGCTTTTCTTTATCTTCTTATAAAAATTTTTAATAATTGGTCTGAAGTGACATATCTTTTCTGGTATAACAGGAATTATATTCCACCTTCTTTTCTTCTTTGAAACAGATTTATTTGAAAATGTCTGTGGGTCTTCAATGAAGAGAAAGGAACTTGAAGATCTGAAGGATAATATTGAGTTCAGAGGTCATAAGCCACTTACCAGCATCACTGTTTCAAAGAAACGCAATTGGCTATATCAGAGTACTCTGAGATCTCTTAATCTGGAAGAAGAAAATAAATGCCAAGATAGAAGTCATTTATCCATCTCACCTGTTTGTCTACCTAAACATCAGCTATCACAGCCTTTCCCCAAATCATCTGAAGAATATTTTACATATGTGGTGTGTAATGCTACAAACTCTTCATTATCAAGAAACTGTTTTTTAGACTCTAATGAGGAAAATGATGCGGATGATGAAGGAGAAATATGGTACAATCCCATTCCTGAGGATGATGACGTTGCAAGTGCCTTGAGTTTAGGTGAGGCAAACTCTGCTGTTCTAAAGCTTCCTGCTGTCAGTTTGAGCATATTACCTGGTAGTGACTTTATGAAAGAAGATCGTAATACTGAAGACCTACTGTACTCTTCCGAACACACAGATGATGTTCAGACCACACAGTCAAATGAAACGAATACTATAGAATCCATCCATTCTACAGAATTTGTGCAGCAGTACAAGCAAAAGCTAGGACACAAGATACAAGAAGGTATAATGGTAGAGGACAGTCCCATGTTGAAATCTCATTTTGCAGGTAAAGATGATCATATATCTGCCTTTTCTTTCTTCTTCTATTTTTCAGTTCTTTGGTAGTAGCTAAAACTAAATATAGAAGATGTCTATTGTATTTATGTATTTTTCTTACAAAGTGATTTTCATGAGAATAAAGAAAACTGAAAAAGGTTTCGAAACATGGTGGTTTAATTATTCCTGTCACAGACTTGGTTTTATAATCTGGTGTGCTTTAGTACGTTCATCCTTTGAGACAGTAATTGCTTTTCTTAGTTGAAAGAGTGGAATCATGAGGAGTAGAAGAGAAAGATATATTACTTATGTAAATCTTATTTGCTTCATTCACACCTAGCGTGGCTACAGCTTCAATGTACCAGTAATAATTAGTTTGTGCTTTTATGCCTAAGTTTCCTTACAAGCAAAGGAAAGGGAGAAGAGAAAAAGAAATGACAGGTAGAAGAAAAGAACTTGCAAATAGGTACTACAATAGTTAGGGAACTGCAAAAGGAAATAATTGAAGTTTGATATATATTAATTGCCATATAAATTGCCAGTATTCAACAGTTTTCGATCTGTAAAAAAAAAAAAAAGCTTTTCATATAGTTCAGTGTAGTGTGGTTTTATTCTTCTTTGATTGCCTTCAATTTTCTGATGTGCTTCTTTTAGTTCCGGACACACTACCCAGGAAGCAGAGCACAAGGCACATTTGGCTGAAAACATCAAATGTAGTTTGAAGACAGTTCTGTTTATATCAAGTCATTTTAATTTATACAATTTTAAATGATACAAAATACTCAAAGATGTGGTGTGTAGCAGATGCTGTCAGTGCCTTGCCCCATATCCCTTGGGTTTTATTACTTTCTTACAACTTAAGTAGGAGAAACCTATTTCCAGCCACCAGTATCTGCATCCCTGCTTGAGGATTTTCTCTGAAGTCTTAGGAAATCTCTCTGCAGGGCAGCCTGGGAGTGCACCCTCAACCAGTTACTGACAGGAGCTGATATATGACTATCCCATTTCCCTTGCCCCTTATGTGGGATAATTCTGAGTCAGTATTACACATTGTTTCCTAGAGTTTTCTCATAAGGTTAAGTTCCAGTTGCCTACAGTGGTAGCAGGCTTGTTAGTTCACCTTGAATTTTTCCCTGAATTTTCTCACTTCCTCACTGGTATTTCTGTACTTTGCAAATAAGCTACTTGCATTTGAATCCTTTTCTCAGGGACGTGGGGAGGTGGAGTAAATGTTATGTTAAGAGAAAAGCGAGGGCTGGCCCGGTGGCGGACTGCTACAGTGCGTTGCTTGGGAGTGTGGCGGCGCTCCCGCCGAGGGTTCGGATCCCACGTACAGACCGGCCGCTCACTGGCTGAGCGAGGTGCGGACGCAACGCCGAGGGTTGCGATCCCGTTGCCGGTCCCAGTCTGGTCTGGGTGCGACACTGAGGGTTGCGATCCGTTGCCGGTCACGAAAAAAGACAAAAAAGGAAAAAAAAAAAAAGAGAAAAGCGAGTTACAAAACAGTGTGTACTGTATGGTAGCAACTTTGAAAGAAATGCTGAAGGCTGTGCTGGAAATATTAATGGTTTTTGCTTGTTTTTATTTTTTTATTTTTTCTGAGTGTTGAGATTGGAGGTAATTAAAATTTTATTTTCTTTGTGTATTTATAATTGCAGACTAATTTTACAGAGTGAATGTGCATTTCTTTTGTAATCTGGATGGAGAAAGAAATAAATGCTGTATTTAATAGTAGTTTGGAATGCAGGTTGTGATCAGTGTGGAGTGATGGGGTAGGCTATAGTATTGCAGGTGGTGATGGGTGTGGAATGGTGCAGAGAAAGCAATAGGGTGTAAGGATAAGACCCAGGTTAGAAAGATGGTGTCTATAAAGTGACACACACCTTGGTTAAAGTTACTGTTGTTAAACTTATTTTTTTATGTTTCTGGCAAATTGTGAACCTGGAAAGACTAACAGACATTTAAAAAACTTAAAAGTACAGTATGGCTACCATTTGTGTATCCTTTCTTACTGTCATTCTTCTCTTAAACAAACAATTCAGATATAATAAGCACAATTCTAAATTAGCCAAAGGAAATATTTAGACAATTTATTTATATGCCATCATTTTTTTGTTTTAGTTTGAAAGAGTAGTTACTTTAAAGTGATCTGTTTTCTTTAGCAATATTGGCAGAAAGCTCTTGAAAAGTTGGCAAAGAGAATGGTTGAATTTCAAAATAATTTTTGATCAGAGCATAGGAATGCTAATTTATAAGTATTTTTAATATGAATGGCAATTCCTTAAATCATTCTAACACAATCATGACTTGTTTTTTGCTTATTAGCTTCCAGATATATATGTATCTTTTATCTAGTTGTAATCACAGTGGACTTAACTTTTGGTTTTTGCTACTTTCACTTAGTGTCTTCCTCTTGCATTGTTACATATGGATTAACATTATTGTTTCTCAAACCTTATAGTATTTAATTGGGTTCATGTGCCCTAATCTGTTTCTCTGATATTGGGTGTTAATAGATTGTTTTCACTGCTGTTATAGTGATCTTCGTAATGATATTTTTTGCTTTATTAGGATCAATTACTAGTATCATTACTGGGTCTTTATGGCTGTTAACTACTATTGGTAATTTCTATATTGTATTTCCTAAAAGGTTTACCAATTTACAGGGTAACTAACAATTGGTTGGTTGATTAATTCATTTATTCAATGAATATTGAGTTCCTGCTATGTGTAGTTACTGTTCTAGGTGCTGAAAGAGGGTGCTGGTTTCGCTTGACTCTAGCCTGGTTCATAAATTTATGTTTAAAGATTTTCGTTTTGTACTTTCTTCTCATAGCAAGTCTATGACTTGATTAGTATAGTTGCAGTTTAACTTTAAGGGATTGTGGAATTTGACAATATTTCACCTCTTGGATTTTATAAAAACAAAGCATTTTTGTTTTAATAGATTCAGTCTTCTCTACAGTAGAAGTTGCTAACATGTACAGTATTTCATTTTAATAATTAGTTAAGGACTTCAGGATGAATTATTTTCTTACAATGTGTAAAAAGAATCAGAATGCTAAACTCCTTAATAATTAAAATCTAGAGCATTTTAATATACTGGGTAGCTTTTCTACATTGTGACAAAATAGATTAACATTCGTAAACTAAGCAGGACCCTGATTAATATAGAATGTTTTAGGCTAGTAACCCAGTAGAATTGCACTATGATTTGCAGTACAAGGGGATGCTTTGTTCAGTTTATCAAACACTCCATTTCTTATTGGCTACTTACCAGAAAAACCCAGTAGGCATACTTAAAATAGCCTTTTTTCTATAAAGAAATTACTTCTTTGTCATTAGGACACACAGAGAGGGGTGGAGGGAGAATATTATATTAATACTTTAAAGAAAGGTCATTCAATCTATTCATCTTTTAAATGAATAAACACTTTTTCTTATTTTAATTGTGAAATGTAGTGTTACATAGATTAGCTTCTGATATTATGGTTATTAGATATTCCTCTATAAGGAATAGTTAGATAAAGTATGAAAAACTAATTTAAAATTTAAATTATTGGGATACTATTAGATTGTTTCTTTAAAAGAGTAGTTTATTTTGTTCATATATTTTTGTTTTTAAAAATTGGGTTTTTTTCATTGTACTGTTTATGGGGTACAGTTTGTTGTTTCAATACATGCATATATTATATGATGATCTAATCAGAATAGTTAGCACATCTATTACCTAAAGATTTACCACTTCTTTGTGGTTATAACTTTCAAGATCCTATTCTTGCTATCTTGAAATATACAATACAATATTATTAGCTATTTTCACCCTTGAGTACCAGAACTTACTCTTCCTATTTAACTGTAACTTTGTAACTTTATATCAGTCTACCAGCCTCTCCCCGCCCCGCCCCCCTTTCCCTGCCTCTGGCAACCACTATTCTACTGTTTCTTTCTTTCTTTCCCCTCTCTTTAATTTCTTTTTCTCAATGGACCCATGATAATGGTATATATGTATGGAGTACAGTATGATATTTGGTGAAAGAACAGTTTAAATTTATATAATATTAGACATTTGAAGATATTTTCATTTCACTTTATTAGTTTAAAAACTAGTCAAGTTCAGACTTAAAAGTGAAATTGATTAGTCTGTACATTCTCTTTTTTAAACTGGGAAAGTTTAAGTTGAATACTTTAATTTCTTAATACTAGTCGATAAAAGGTCTTCCAAATCAACTTAATGTCTATGTGTAGACAGAAAAATATTTAGAAGGATGGAGAGGCTGCAAGTTCAGTATTTAAGAGCATAGGCTCTGAAAGCCAATGCTTAGATTTAAGTCTCGTTCTGCCACTTACCAGTTTTGTAATAGACAAATCAGACACTTCTATGCCTGATGCTCCTTCTCTGGAGAATGGGGTGCTATGGTATTTAACTCATAAGGTAACTATGAGAATTAAATAAGGATCTGTGCATACTAAGTAGCTCAATAAATGTTGGCTGATATTAGTATTGAATCATAATGAAACATCAATGGCTAATTTATTAATATTAAATTACTTTTAATATTATTTTCACAAAAATATTTACAACAGTTAATGTTTAGGTAAGTGGTTTAGGCTATTTACTTAATTTGTACTTTTTTGTATTTTAAAAATCTTTTTACAGTAAACTTGAATAATTTGGATATTCCAAAAAGAATAAAGCTATTTTCATATGGAGAAAAATTCAAAAGCCTTTGAATGATTTATTCTTTATGAAAACTGAAAATTATAAGAAAACTTGTATCTCTATAGTGTTGTAATATATTGAAATTGTAAGTAAAGGCCTTAATTTAACTTTTGAAATTGTATGGAATTATTGTGTACAAATAATATGAGAAAATGTCTTTAACACTTTTGAAAGTTATTCATTTGGATTTATGATATTTAATATTCAGTTATTCTTAATTGACTAGAGCTCACCCTGTATAATCTTTGGTGATATATTCCAATAGTAGAACAAGGAGTGACTCTTGGCTGTTAAAATTGTAAACTGGTTAGGTTTTTCACTTTTTTTTTTGACCAACTCTGCTATGTGATAGCATTTACTTTTAGAGTATTATACGAGGGTACTTTAAAAAATTCATGGAAAGATTTGTGTTATCTTTTAATTTCATTTTTCCGCAAACTTTTTGAAGTGCCCTCATAAATATAGAAGGAACATTGTTATATTAGAACAGGATTTCTAGTTAAAATAAACATATTAAAACAGGAAGCTTTCCTAGTTTCCTCTGATACCTGCTGTTTGAGGTTATAAAGTAACATACTCACTGAAGTGTACTGCAGTGAGAAAGATTTAAAAGGAAACTGTATTAAATCCTCCAAACCTTCAGAATACCAGAGTGAAAGGGAGGTGCTTCTTTCCACTGTAAGCTATTTGGAGACCTTGATATTCTGCTTGAACATGGTAATGGAGATTGATCTGAACTTACAACTAAATTTCCCCATTGACGTGAAGCAAGGGAAGAATTTCTGTCCACATGAGAGCGTGTTTAGTTGGTGGTTCATAAAATGGAAATAAAAGTAGAAATCAAAAAATACTGCTTTATATCTTTTTTTCTTTTTTCTTTAAGGTCCTGGGATCCTATCTGCTACCAATAGGACTGAATTAGGAGTTACAGAACCATCTTCTCCAAACCCTAGCCTGGTGAAAAAAGGCAATTCAGTTAATTGGTCTTTGCCAGATAAAATAAAATCTCCACGAACTGTGAGGAAACTTTCCATGAAAATGAAAAGGTTGCCAGAATTTAGCCGAAAGTTGAGTGTTAAGGGAACCCTGAATTATATAAACAGTCCAAATATTACTCCTTCCTTGTCTAAATGTAATTGTCAAGAAATTCATCATACTGTTATTCTGCCTTCTGGGAGCACAACCACAGCTGCTAAGAGGAATGTTATAAGCCGGTACCATCTTGATACCAGTGTATCTTCTCAGCACAGTTACCAGAAGAAAACCTCTATGAGTTCTAAGTATTCCTGCAAAGGTGGTTACCTCAGTGATGGAGATTCACCTGAACTTATAAATAAATCTAGCAAACATGGATCTGAAAACAAACTTGGAAAAGGAAAAGAAATAATTCCAAATAGTTGTAGCAAGAATGAAATAGACATTGATGCTTTTAGACATTATAGCTTTTCTGATCAACCTAAGTGTTCACAGTACATATCTGGGCTCATGAGTGTGCATTTCTATGGTGCTGAGGATTTAAAACCACCCCGGATAGATTCAAAAGATGTATTTTGTGCAATTCAGGTAGATTCAGTAAACAAAGCAAGAACAGCTTTGCTCACATGCCGTACAACATTTTTAGACATGGATCACACTTTCAACATAGAAATTGAAAATGCCCAACATTTGAAACTAGTAGTATTTAGCTGGGAACCCACTCCAAGAAAAAATCGAGTTTGTTGTCATGGAACTGTTGTTCTCCCCACTTTGTTCAGAGTGACAAAGACACATCAATTGGCTGTCAAACTTGAACCTAGAGGTCTTATTTATGTGAAAGTGACTCTTCTGGAACAGTGGGAAAATTCTCTTCATGGACTAGATATAAATCGAGAACCCATAATATTTGGTGTTGATATTCGAAAAGTTGTAGAGAAAGAAAATGTAGGATTGATGGTACCACTCCTGATACAGAAATGTGTTATGGAAATTGAAAAGAGAGGCTGTCAGGTATTATTTTACTGGGTTCTCTACTATCTTCTTTATTGATTGATTAATTGACTGATTGGTTATAGATTTTGAGGGATGGAATTCAAGGTAAGGTAGAAAAAAATCTAGACATTTTTCCATTCTTATTTTTTATTTTTATTACATTACTATCTAGTGTGTAATTCATACTTTAACCTATGTTGTCAGTAATTGAGAGCATGCTAGATGTTATGACAATTTATATTGTGATAGACAGCTGCATGGGTCTTATAACTAGATATCAAGATTGCTTTTTAATGGCATTCCTAGGAAAAGCCAGAGATGATAACATAGGCAAAGCCTAATTCATTTAAGAAATGTTTCTGCATGTTTTGACATTTCTATGCGAGAAAGTTTCAGTAGTGAATCCTACAACCCTGATTTACTTTTAAAATTAACTCCCTGCCCTTATTCCCTATTTTCTCTAAGTCCCACTGCTTGGAAGGCATAAACTTATCTGTCTCTGTACAGTGAGATAGTATGATGGTGGAGGAGAGGTCCTACTAATAAGAACACATCTCATTTTCTTTTAAATAAGAAAACAAAGGGAACCTATTAAAACAAAATACCTGGTGTTATTTGTAAAAATATATGTAAATGTTAGCCAGTTAATAGGCCTTATCTTTATTTTTGTTATTACAAGTGAATAATGACAATGAGAAACAGCCTATCACTGAGATTATTCTGAGTTTTGAGTAATTGTTTATACTCATTTTTTGTGACACATATGAAACCTAAAAATCATTATGTTCTGAGGTATTTCTGCTTTAGTGCTATCAGAACTTACAATATTGGTTAAAAAGATAAATTAGACAATGAGGGTAAATATCATAAAATCTGAAATATGATTTATTTAACATAACTCACCTTGAACTTAATGTGGAAACTATAGAAACAGCATAATGTTGTGGAGTTTTGCATTAAGATGCAGAAGACCTGAATTCTGGTTTCTCCTCCCTTATTACTTAGCTGTGTGATGTTGGGCAAGTCACTTAATCTCTGTGGGTCTTATTTCCTTATATCTACAGAAATAAATGCAGTAGCTTCCTGAAGCTAAGAAGTAGAACATTTGAACTTTTGATACCTCTTCTAACTCAGATACATGATTCAGTCTCTAGTTTATGTTGTTTGTGTGGGAGTGAGGCCTTTACTTTCCAATCTAACCTTTGGCCAATTGAACTTTTGATACCTCTTCTAACTCAGATACATGATTCAGACTCTAGTTTATGTTGTTTGTGTGGGAGTGAGGCCTTTACTTTCCAATCTAACCTTTGGCCAACTATTTTTCTTTCTTAAGGTTCTCTGTTTTTTCCTCCACTTTTTTCAGAGATTAAGCAGACTTTAAAACTAATTATTAAACAGAAACTTTTACAGTGGAATATTAAAATAGGTAACTCAAATGACGCTGTACTTTAACAGTCTGTTTCCTGAAATATTAATAAAGAGCAGGTGTATAAAGACTGTTACTACTTTTTTAGGGACCAAGGAAACATTTTTAGCAATGCTTTTTTATTTCTATACTTAAAGTTTAGAAAGATTTATTTTAATAAAGATTTCCTGTGAACTAAAAAGTAAGTTTTACAATTGTGCATTTGCAACTGTACTTTCTAAAGACCTTTTTTGTTTCATCTCCCTTCTACCACCTACACACACACACACACACACACACACACACACACACACACACACACATTTATTGTGCCTGCGCTTTATAGACTGGCATACTGCTTAAATTTTGTTTGCCTTTTAGTCAGTAATTATTCCTGTTTTTTCACCGTGAAACTCAGGTTTTGATGGTCGTACAAAAAATAGTTTGTGGCATGGACCTTTGCATCTTCCAAGTGCTTTGAATGCTACCACCCATCTCTTCTTTCCAGTGGGAAAAATTACTGCAGATAACATATTCGTGGTCCACCCAATACAGATTCTGCTTCTGACAGAGGCAGCAAGCATGTACTTCAAGGGTTTGACTCAAGAAGTTGCATCTCAAGTTAGGGATATTTCTTAAAATATCCTTTCCTTGAAATACCTATATTTGATCTTTCTTTATTCAAATTTTAGAAATTATATTTGTAATTTCAGCTTTTGGTGATAAAATGTTCCATTAGCTTATCATCTGCTGTTTAAGTAGTACTTCCTTTAATTTGTTCTAGATTCATCTCCTAGAGGGATGCATCCTTATTATGGGATTTTATGGCCCTTAAATGTGCCTATACCAGAAGGGCTCTAAACAAGTTAGTGTCTTAAATAGTGGTAGTATTTCCTTTGATCCTATTTAATATTTTTGTTTCATATTTTAGTGGTAGTATTTCCTTTGATCCTAATATTAATATTTTAGTTTCATTTTTTTTTTGGTCACCTACATTTATACCATGTCTTTCTTGAGATGATGTGACCAGCATAACTCATATTCTCAATGTGAATGCATCATGAATGTGGAGAAGAGTAGGGAATTGGAATTTTTTTCATAATATGTTCCTCGGTTTCCCATATTCTGTTGATCCTGATTATAACAGCACCTTGCATTACTGTCTCCTAGAAATAGTTTCAGATTATTTACTATCTTTCATTTAATACTTATACCTTATCATCTCAAACATTTTGTATAACTTTTCCCTGAATCCATTACTGCGACTTTCCTGTATGGAGACCCACTTTCTGTAGTATCTATCATGACTCAGAAGAAGTTAGTATTATAAGTGAACATGGAAATTCCATTTGTGTACTCCTGCCTCTAGGTCATTGATAACATTTTACAGTGATTTCTAGTTCAAATCCTGGAGGATTGTTTTCACTTAATTTCTGTCTTGAAATAATTTCTTTCTCTGTAACTCTTGCTTTAACTTAAGGTGATTGGGCTTCATAGTCTTTGATGTAGATGTACAGGTGACAACCATTTATTCTCCTTAATTTTCTTGAAGGTTTATTCTTTCAGAGAATTCTGATAGCTTAATCTGGCATGTTTTCTCTTTATAAAATCCATGTTGATTTTCTCTCAGTGAATTTATAGTGAATATCTTATGATAATATTTTAGAACCTATATGAACTACTAATATTTAAAAACCAAATCTTTTCAGTGTAAGTTGGTGGGGTGGGTAATGTCCTGTGTATCTTATATAAATTTTGAACCAGAGTTTTGTTTTACCTTTAATATGTTATTTTAAATTTCCTCCATCACTTTATAATCAATTAATTTGACAAGTTAAAAAACAAAAACCGTAGGTTTTCTTCTTTTATTTCTTCCCGAGAATCTTTTTTTTTTCCCAAAAAGCTTAACACAAATAATATACTGGAACCTTATTAAACAATATACTTATTTTATGGGTAAAGAAACTGAATTTTAAGGAGATTAAATAACTTGCTCAAATTCACCAATCAAGGAGTGACAGAGTGAGGCTTTATGACTCCAAAATTGTTGTTTAACCACTGTGCTGTACCACTTCAGTCTAGAATAAAAGATGTGAAATGGTATATTCCCAGGCCATTGGGCATATAAAACTAAAGAGAAGGGATTTTATCTTTGCTTAAGATACATAGCCAGCACCACAGAAATTATAGTGTATTGTTTGAGTTTAAATGAAAGAACAGGTTGTTTTTATTCACCTAATCAATACAGTCTATAGTGAGATTCTGAAAGCTGTGTTTGAGGTATTTTTAATTAAATGTCATGAGAACATATTTGATTGCCAAGTTCATGTGATTTATACTGTACTATTATGTTTTCTCTTTATCAAATTTACTGTAATGTGGCCATAATTTTATTTCTAGGTAGTAGGCCTGTATCGATTATGTGGTTCGGCAGCAGTCAAGAAAGAACTTCGAGAGGCTTTTGAGAGGGATAGCAAAGCTGTTGGTCTGTGTGAAAACCAATACCCAGATATAAATGTAATAACAGGTAATATATAGATTTTATATTATGTACACATCCTGGAAAGACTACATCTGCAGGAAGGAGAATTGAAAAACTGTTTCGTAGCCTAAATTTAATTTGATTTTATGCTGAAGTCTTATCTTCCTTTCTTTACAAACACTACTTAATGTGTTATTTTCGATGGCAAGGTATTCAGATATGGTCCCTGCCCTCAAACAGCCAACAAATGATGGGGGGAAGTAAGAACTACATTAAGTTAGCCATAGTAACTGTCAGAAAGAAAAGGGTAGTAGAGGGATACATAAAATGTCCTGGGAGGGATAAATAAAATGCCATGGGAGTTCAGTTTGACTGGAGCTTAGGTTATGGAAAAGGCATTGACTATCTGGTTGGAGAATTTAGATTTATTTACTATACAGGAGGTTCCATTAAAGATTTTTGAGTAGGGGAGTGAAATCATTAAAAACTGTTTTTAGGAATCTTAATCTGGTAACTCCATGTGATGGATTGAAATTGGAAGAGACCAGAGGAAAGAAAATCAGTTAGGAAGCCTTGGCAGTAGTCTCAGCAAAGAGGTAATGAGAGCTAAAGGAGGCTTGTAGCAGTAGAAGTGGGAAAGAGTAGAATTGAAATGGTGTGAAGAAAGAGAGGGCCCCGGCAGACATGACTTTAGACCCGGTTGATTGGGAACCATTAGATAAATAAGAGAGCTGTGAAGAGAGCTACTGCTTTTATTGGGGAAATGTCAAGAAAGATTATGAATTGGATTTTGGATATATTGAATTTGAAGTACTGGTAGGAGATCTAGATGTATATATCAAGAAAGTGGAAAGTGCTCATCTCTGCAGTTAAGGAGAGAATGTGGTAGAATTTGAGGGTCTTTTATTTACCTAAGTGGTGAATATAATCCAATGTATAGCATGGGAAATATACTTCTATTACTCCTGAGAGATGGGGTTGGAAAGTGGCAATCTGAGAATCATTGGCATATAGGTGTAATTAAAGCCTTGCAATTGTCCGTAAAGTTTGAAAGACAAGAACTTTGGGGATCTGCAAACTTTGGAGGCAGGCAAAGAGAGAAGAAACACTTTAAGAGATTGAGAGGGAAGGAGTCAGAAAGTTTGGGAAACAAGAGACAATGGAGGTTACGGAAAGGTGTGATACAGTGTTATTCTGTGGAGAGGTCATAGAAGACGAAAACAGAAAAAGCCCTTTGAATTTGGACATTAGAAGATTGTTCATAACCTTATAAATAATCTTCAGGGGCTATTGGCTCATAGAAAAATAGAATTAAAAAATAATATGAATCTCTCCATGAACTTTTTGAAGTACCCTCGTAATTCCATGTTTGTTTTTGTTGTTGTTTTACTTTTTATTATCAAAGTTTCCAAGCATATGCAAAAGTAGAGAGAATACTGTGGTAATATCCCTTTATTTATTACCTGGTTTCCATGATTATCAATCATGATTATGACCAGACTTGTCTCATTTGTACCTCCCATTTGATCCTCACCATCCCTGGATTGTTTTGAAGCAAATCCCAGACTTCATGTCCTTTCATCTATAGATCCTTGAGTATGTATCTCCAGATCTTCTGTGTATTTTGATCGTTTTTCTCTTTTTTCTATTGTCAACTGCCATTTTTTCTTGCTATGAGGGTTATCTTTTATAACTTGCTTTCTTATTTTATACACAATTATTTGGGTGAGAATTTGAGGAAGGTTCACCTTGTACATGTTAAAGAAGTTTTTGTTAAAATTCTTAAAGCTTACTTTTAGGATTAAAGCTTTCTGAATAATTGAGATTCCTACTTTCTGAACTCTGAATGACTGTATTTTAATAGAATTTTTAATATAGCCTTTTGGATAAGCAAAATTTTGATCACAGGCATTTTAATTCTAATAGAAAACAAACCGAGGGACTTTTTCTTTCTTATAAATTTTAGGAAATTAGAAATAATGGTTACTTTTATTCTTTTTTTTATAAAGGAAGAAGCTTATTTCTACCAAAAATAAATGGGAAATTTTTTTTAAAAAAAGGAATATGCTTCCCTTGTTAATATGTAATTAACAAAATCAGCATAGGACCCATTTTATGAATTCATTAAAGAGAAATTTTATAAATACCAATTTCCTGGAACATACATTTTATAAAGAAAAATAAATTTTGTCTTGGTGAATGAAGCCTTGTCTTAGAAATAAAAACTATCCTAAACATGTATGATTTAAAAAGATGATATGGTGGGGTTTGAATTGATTATTTGTTATAAGAGAGAGTCATTAGTATTGGAAATTAGATGCATATGCAGAAGATATGAACAATCAGTCAATGAATATTGGATTTGTAGCATTCTTTTCTAAAATTGAGAGTTTCTGTAACTTATCAATTGGGTATTTCTTGGGTCTATTCTTTGTACTATTGCATTTCAGTAAAACTGTTTTTCAAAAGAATGTAGAGCTATATTCTCTCTTGATAAAGCCAATAAAATGATTTAAAATTTATCTGAGAAATATCATCAGAGTTGCAATAAATTACACAAAAGTTCATCATGGCTCAAAATAAAGGGTACTGTTGATTTGGGGAACTGGCCAGGATAGGTATTGCCTCATGTGTTTATTTTACATAAACTCACATTTCTGAGTAAACTTTGAAGTGTAATTAAAAGTTCAGTAGATCTAAAAAGTGGGAAATTAATGAAGTGAGTGGTAGAGCTTGCTCACAGTTTAATGTGTTTTTAGTAGTTGGTTTGTCTAGAGAACAAAATGAAATGCTCCAGACAAACCAGGTTTTTTTCAATCAAGTACAAGTTGAAGTTTATTTATAATTGTTTATGGAGCTTATTTAACAAAGACAAGAGAAAAATTTAGGAAAGTCAAAACATTTATTATTTAGTGATTATTAAAAAAGAATGTGTCTTCTGAGGAAAAATTCAATTTGAATGTGTCTCTGCATTATAAATTAGATTTCATGTCACTGGTACACAATCAGTATCTAGATTCAGTACTTAAAAGTTTATTTTGGCCATGCCTTTTTCTGATTTTAATTCTATCTTAATTATTTTATCCTATCTGCCTTTTAAAGAAAACTTGACCAGATATAAGCCAGAACTTATTTTTAAAACATCAATATTTTTCATCATTTACACATATTAAATATATATTTTTCTCCCATACATTTTATATGTTCTCTGATCTCTGGCACATTAACTTTCAAATTATTTCTATTTTCTTTACATGGATTGAACATAGACATCTAAACTGTGTAAACATTAAGGAATGAGAAATACTGAGTTATGGTCATAGATTTAGCAACCCAAATATACTGAGATTGTATATGAGAATCATTTGATCTGAGTAATGTATAGAGTATGACTAAAGTAAGTGGTAAGAGTAAGTGAGGTAAGATGGGGTAGGTTAATGGATTTTAAAAATTAATTTGTAGTTCTAACTTCAGGAAATGTCAGTGATTCAACCTTCAAATTTACCTACTCTGATGTATCCTTACTATCTATGTAATTTATATCTGTGAAAGGATGATTTTCATGATTATGTATGTGTATTTTCAACATTCTGGTTCCATTGAGTTAATCTTTTGTTATACTAGGTGCCTGTAGAGGATAAGAGCACAGTCCGAGGGGACAGAGTCTCACTTGAAGAATGAGGTTATTTAATATATTAATCTTCATGTTCTGCAGTTGCTAGTAGGAAGAGATGATATCCATCTATCCATCATATATGAATGTTTACTATGTGCTAGGTACTTTGCTACAGCATTTGAAACACGATGATGATTAAGATATCATTTCGACCCTCTAGAATATTAGTCTAAAGGGGAAGACAGACACAACCATCATATATGAATGTTTACTATGTGCTAGGTACTTTGCTACAGCATTTGAAACACAATGATGATTAAGATATCATTTCGACCCTCTAGAATATTAGTCTAAAGGGGAAGACAGACACAAAGAAGCAGCTAATTATAATATATGAGAAGAAGCACCTAACTTATCCTGGGAAAATCAGGGTAAACTTCCTAGAAGAGGTGGCTTCTCGGCTAACTTCTAAAGGGTGAGCCAGACTTAGCCAGGCAAAGGTGGGAGGAGGGCAATGTGTTAGTAAAAATTTGGAGATGGAAAAACCATATGACATGTAGCACTTCCCAAAGAGGAAAGCACCAAGCAGATGAGGGTGGTGAGAAAGAGCTGGAATACTCTCTCAGAGTGGTACCCAGAACTAACAATGAGGTTTATTTGGAAACAGCAGAGTTAGGACATGGTCATTTTCATATTTTTTTTTCTTTATCATGAAGTTAATTGGATGAGTTACTATGTAGTAGGTGATATAAAGGCACTTCTACATTGAGACATACAAGTAGCTAGGAGGGTTAAAAGAATGGTAAGCAGATGGTGATGTACCTACTCGTTGAGGTATATGTGTAATTCTATGACTTTTTTGTATTCCTATGTATTTAGTAAAAAGAGAAAATCTTTTAAAATGTATCCACTTATGTTGGAGGTGCTAAAAAGTAAATACTGAAAGATTATTTGTTTTGGTTTTTGTCTCCAAATCAGAACTGGTGTTTTTAACCCTAGCACTATATATACCTGGAGTCCTAGCACGATGGTGGTAGTAGGAATCAAAGTGAGAATCCTGCAGGAAAAGGGAAGTCTGTACATAGAAATGTCCAGAGTTCACTTAATCAGAATCTTCCCTACCTATTTTAATTAAATCTTCTCTATCTGGAAATTAATTTATTTACTAAATACTTATTGAACACTTACTGTATGCCAGGCAGTCTTCTAGGCACCAGGGACAAGTGAATAAGACGAACAATGTCTCAGTCCTCATGTGTATGCATTCTTATAGTAAGATATAGTAACTTATCAGTATAAGTAAGACAGTGGGAATGATACTGATTGGTAGTAATGATCAGCTTGGTGACTCTTGTAGCTAGGGTGATCAGAGAAGAAAGTCTCTCTGAGAAGTGCCTTTTGAGCTGAGATCAGTATGATATGGAGTCAA